AAACCTGTGAGGTGTCCCTGTTTCTTTTTCATAAAATGATACTTACACTTATGAGTAATGGAGAAAGAAATATGAAAAACTCAACTTGTAAGAGCTGTGTGTGTGAGCACATGTGTGCATGTGTGTGTGTATGTGTGTGATGTATGTTTTAATTCCTCCCTCTCTAGTAAGCCAAGTCTTTTTTAAAAAAAGTTTATTTATTTGAAAGTCAGCATTATATATAGAGAGGGAGAAACAGAGAGCGAGATATCTTCCATCCACTGATCACTCCCCAAATGGCCATAACAACCAGGGCTGGGCCAGGCCAAAGTCAGTAACCAGGAGTATTACTGGATCTCCCATGTGTATGGCAGAGGCCTAAGTACTTGGACCATCTTCTGCTGCTTTCCAAGGCCATTAGTAGGGAGCTGAATGGAAAGTGGAGCAGCCGTGAACAGGTGCCCATAAGGGATGCCAGCGTCCCAGGTGGCAGCTTAACCTGCTATGTCACAATGTCAGCCTATAAACCCAGTCTTGTACATTCTCTTCCCAATGCCTTGGAGCAAGGCTTCCCTTAGGGCAAAATCAAGCTAAAATGTATTTACCTTTTTCAGGAATTCTTCTGGAAATTCAAAACATCCCTCATTTTTGCAATATCTCATTCAATAGTTATGCAATTTCCTGCCCAGAAAGTTTCCCCATGGTGTCACATTAGAAATTCTTATTATCAATAGTATCTTTATATTAACATAACTTATAAAAGCTGGTATTATAAATACCATGCCTCTAAATCTGTATTTTCTATAGGGCAGATTGAGCAGACAGGATAGTAACAGGAAACAAAAGGTACATTCAACGAGTTTAACTGAAGCAGGTTTAATAAATGAATCTCTTACTCTGTGCTTGGTGCACAGGCAGGTTAGTATGTGGTAAGATTAGATAATGAGCAATGAAGGGACATCAGTTTGTTGTCATCATTCTTAAAGTCTGGAACTAAATGTGAGCTAACAAAATTGTACATGGAATTTTGAAAAGGAGTGTTATCTTCATCTGAATGGGTGGTCAGCTTTCATCTGTGGCCAAAAAGAGGAAGAGAAGGGAGGAGGGCAGAAAACTGGCCCTCAGCAAGACTTGATGGAAACGTAACCACCTCTGCATCTACTGCACCAGATGACTGGCACATGAAGCTCTGTGCTTTTGTCAGAGTCCTACTTAACTTAAGATATAGCCTGTAGAGTAAGTAAACTCATGGCCTTACTCCTTCCAAAGCCAGATCCCTGTAGTCATGTTGGTGTCATTTGCCCACAGGCAAACCAGGCTTTTCTGGTAACTCACCAATTTTTTTGTAATGAATTTACTTTAATAGATGTGCCACTTCATAAGAACTGTACCATAAATGATACACATATACCTTTGGGCTCATTTATAAATTCCATCAGCATGGAGACTAGGTGTAGTACCTGTGGGTGTTTCAGTGCCAGTTCTTGCTACATACTTGTTTAACCAATGAAAGATCATGTCTTATATTCCTGTCTTCACCCTCAATATAAAGTAGACAATTAGGAGACATTTATGTGGTGATTCAAATACTCTAAGAAATGCTAAAAGATTTATTTGGGTATTCATCTCCTCATTCCTTGCCTCTGCAGATGACCTGTAGGGCACCATACTCCAGAGGAAAGTTACAACTACAGTTCCCACACTGCTGCCATTGCAAATAATTTCCATTCCCAGGGGTTTTGATGTTGTTGTTTGTGGTTTTCTTTGTTTTTGTTTTGTTTTAAATTAATTTATTTGAAAGGCAGAATTACAGAGGGAGGAACAGAGACAAAGAGAGAGATATCTTCCACCAGCTGATTTACTCCCCAGCTGCAATGGCTGGGTCTGGACAAGGCTGAAGCCAGGAGCCAGGAGTTTCTTCCTGGTCTCCCATGCGGATGTCAGGGCCCAAGCACTTGGGTCATCTTCCGTTGCTTTTTCCGGTCCATTAGCAGGGAACAGGATGATCAGAAGTGGAGCAGCTGGGATCAACCAGTGCTCTGAAGGGCTCCTTGGTGTCACAGGGGAGGTGGAAGATTAATCTTCTGCACCATGAACTGGCCTGCAGCTCCCAGGTTTTAACCAGAACCTAGCACGTAATTTTTGGAATTACTAGTACTGAAAATATGGTATGCACATATTCCTGTAAGGTGTCTGGCGTGTAACAGATCTTCCCAGGCAGATGAATTGATTAATTCACAGGCTTTTATTGGGGTTCCGCTCCCGAGCGAGGTTCACTGGTCCCAACAGAACAACAGAGCAGGAGCCGGGGAAGTCACACGTCAGAGATTGGGAGTGCTCCTTTTATAGATTCAGGGCATGGGAGTTAAAGGTTGAGGCGTGTCTGATCCTCATTGGTTGACCTTTAGGCATCTGCAGGGACCTCGACAAGGACTTTCTTCCCTGGAAGTAGGCCTCTCCATTCCCGGAAGTGTAGGCCTTCCCTCCTTGCGGATCCCAAAGCTACCAATTCCTTCTTATTTAACTCCAGAAAATGGAAATGAACCAAATAAAACACATTTGGACATTTTCTAATTTCATCCCCTTGAGTCTGAGAGTTTTGAAGAAAAATGACTTTTTTAGGGTAGTTTTATTTATTTGAGCCATCTGTCTTTTACAAGAGGTAGTTCACAGAAGTGACTCATAAGGAAATAATTTTAAAGGTAGTTTCAAATGATTAGACCTGATTTGTTTGAATTTATCTGCTTTGGGATAGGAATCAAAAGAAAAGCTCTCCTAAGGCAACGTGAAGGCCTGTTGAGCCTTGTAAAATTACTGGAATGTGTGGAAATAATTAGCAGCCTTTCACCTCTAGACAGAAACTCAGATTTCTTTGGGTTGAAACTTGAGACCTGCAAATGTAAGGGAAACTCCGGGACAGCAGGTGATGAAATAGTTGGGCAAGAGCAGCCAAGAGGGTTCTCCTCACTCTACTTCAGGGCCAGAGTTCCTTTAGGACTTGGGGAAGTGCAGATTATGTTTCAAAATCATGAACAGTATACTGAAAGCCATTCTCTTCCAGAAACAGACCAGGGTGGTTATAAATGTACTTAATATGTCCCAGAGTCAAAGATAGACATCTAGAGAAATAAATCATTTTATTAGTGCAAGTTCACTTTCTCCAAGAAACTGGCATATTTCATTATAAAAAAATGAATAAAGGCCAAAAATGATGGATTCTAGTCCTCCTAATTTAGTCCATCAGCATATTTTATTCAGACCCAGTTCTGTTTCTGTCTTTATTCCAGCTATGGAGTCTTAAGATAGCCTTTGATAAATAGCAAATTATTTTAGTTCCCTTAATTTTCATAAAAATTTAATTGTCATGAAAATTGTTGGTACTGAATGTCTTTACTCACACAATGACTCAGGCTACAAGAAACATTTCTGTATAATAAAGAATTATTTAATAATGAATACCACCCACCAGTTTGAGTAGGCATACTTTTAAATGATACTGATTTGGCTTTAAATTCCAGTAGTATCCTCCTCATTAAGGGTCAGGAGAATAAACCATCATAATTATTTTCAAAAATATGGAAAGCATGTGTAGAAGTCCACAGTACAACTTTGCTGTGTGCCTAATAAACCTCATGGATGTTGGCTTAAAATCATGAACCTGGTAATAATCTCTTACCTGAAAGTTAGGGCAGTGCAAGGCAGTGCTTCTCATCTGAATGTCATTTTCATTTTAACAGTTTACTCCCGGAGAAATTTGGTTGTGTGTGAAGCAAGATCACTTCTTTCTGTTTCCTTGGACTCTGAAAGCCAGAGGTCTTATCTATCAAACTCTGTTAACCAATTGATGGGTCAGTGATCAAAAAACTTGTATGGTTCATAATGTTTAAGCAACTATTTTCCTATCATAAACAACTCTGAAGAGTTTACATTAATGATCTTGGGTTGGTCTTATGAACTCTATTACTAACCCATGCCAAAAATCTACAGACAGATATGACTCAGACCTATACTATGGGAAGAGTTAAAATAGGCATGTCTTTAGGTTTTGACAAGATGAACATTACAGATTTATGTGTGATAAGAATACTTTATAACTCTCTGTCTCTCTGCCTTTCTAAATAAATAATTTTTTTTAAATCTTGTAAGATGTTCCTTAAAATATTGTCCTGAAATAGTTGTTACTTCCTTTTCTAATGAGTGGCCAAAATGTGGAAAAATAAAAGGAGAGTTATCATAAGAATTTAACCTGGGCCCTAGTAAGCAGAGTCCCAGTGTGTATGAGCATAAGTGTATGTATGCACATGTGTGGGTACAATGCGCACCTTTTCCTTGCCCTCATTGATTTCCTGCTTGTCATGAGGCACTTACTGCTTCCTGTCTTCTAGATGACACAGGCTGTCCTAGTAGCCAGTCAGTATCTCCAGTGAAGACGCCCTCAGACACAGGAAACAGCCCCATTGGCTTTTGCCCTGGGAGTGATGAGGACTTTACCAGAAAGAAGTGCACAACTGGAGTGGCTGGTGAAGGAGGCATCCAGTCAGCTCGCTACAAGAAAGAGTCAAAGTCGGGCCTTGTAAAGCCAGGTAAGTGTACTACTCTGCATGCGTGTGTCAGAGCAGTATCATATCAGTCAAGGATTACTAATACTATATACCTGACCTCCAGAAACATTGTTGTTAAAGGAGGCGGAGCAAAGAGGGGAATGTTGTCTGTAATGATTGTTAATAATTAAGTATAGTAACATAAACCCATTATAAAGAGATTTTTTTTAAAAAACAGAAAGTTCAAGAATATAAGCTATATGATCTAACATTTAAACTATGTAATTACTTCTACCTTAATTATACCAAGAAGTGACTTGGTATCATCAAAAGTGACCACAAATTATCAAAATAAGAGGTTATCTTGATGCAAATCTATACAGATGAGCATTCTTACTAACTTAGTTACATCATTTTCTATTTGAGATTTTAAAATGTATATGATATGTATGTGTATATGATATGTGTATGTGTATGTTTATGATATACAGAGATGTTCAATAAACAAACTACATTATTGCAATGTATGAAACTATGAACATCAGAAAAGATCAGTTCTCAGAAAAAGCAACATATAAACAAATGTTTTGTATCTCACAACTAAATCTACACTATATAAACAAATTTAGTTTTAGAAATACTGAAGTGGCAACTTTAAAGTAAAAGGGTGTGAGCATTGGTATTGGGGGACAGTCTCTATCTTGCATGATTTTCTTTTGCATCCATAATTGTACTATGCGTAATCAGCCTGAAAAGACTGATTAACAGCTTACACAAGTCCTCCTTTATTCCATTTGTCTGTTAATTTTTGTTTGGTGATGACATGATTGTGCAAGGAACTACAGATGGTTTTATTTTAATGGTGCCAAAGCTTAGTCCTTTGTCCTTTTCAATTGGATGCTAGCATCTCTGTTTGCTTCTGCTCTCCCTGAATAATTGATGTGCATAGTGTATCATAATGTATTATTTTTTATCTTCCATTTGGTCAATCAAAAAGAACATTTCATCTCAGAGCAAAACTAAAGCTGGGAAATACTATGTCTCCTAAATGTTAGGCATGATGAATAATAATAGTCATTAACTTTGGAATAATATGAAAAGCAAAAGGAATGATACATAATAGGGGAGTGTAGGTAACCCTCACTACCACTACTTCCAGCTTCTGTTTTTAACATCTTGCCTTACTATAATAGGAGCCTCATCTTGCTTATCCATTCATCAGTTGATGAGCTTTGGGTTTTCTCTACCTTTTGCCTATTATGAATAATGGTTCTAATGAACATTCATATACAAGTTTTTGTTAGAACATGCTTTCAGTGCTCTTGGTTGTAGACCTAGAAATGAAATTGCTGAGTCATGGTAAATCTGAGTTTAACTTTGAAGAACTGTCAGACTGCTTTCCAAAGTGGTCCAACTACACCACATTCTTACCAGCGTTTATGTGAATTCCAGTTTAGCCCTGTCCTTTTCTTTTATCTCTAGCACTTTTTTATTTTGTTATTTGAAATCACACTTGTTATTTCAAAAAGATAACTTGTCTGTTTTGAAGGTGTCTGTTCTAGTGAGTCTGAAAGTGGCATCTCATGCCTTTGATTTACTCTTCCCCCATGGCAAACGATGATGAACATGCCTTCATGTGCTTATTGGCCATCTGTGTAGCTTCCTTCACGTCCTCAATGTTTTTTAATATGAAAGTACTCACCAGCAGACTGTGTTTCCCTCCCATGTGAGATGTAAGTTTCAGAGCAGAACCTGCCATCCTCCTTTGATATTCCCAGCACATAGTTTCTGGGGGCTAGTAGGGGCTCAGTCAATGATTGCTGACCTCAGCTGCAAAAGTAGGCCATGGGACAGGGAAGATACAATGGCGAAGGAAAGAAGCCCAGCCCAGTGGATTGTAGAGAGAAAGTAGTTTTCATCATAAAGTATTGTAGGATTTGAAAGCAATCTGAGATGATTTTGGTTTTGTTACCATCCTTCCCCTTCACCATGTAATTTCATTTCAGGGTGTTGGCAATGGGAGGAAACAGTAAAAGTGAGACAAGTGTGATGTGGACAGAAAAAACTAAGTTTGAATGAGAGCTAAGCTTATCACTGCTGTTCCTTATCTGTCATCAAGTAAAAGCAACCACCTATCAACATTATCAACATAAGACTGAAGACAAAACAGTGTATACAGAATTCACACTGAACAGGTCCCTAGTTTCTAAAGATCAGCCATTCATCTTGTGAGAATCAGTATAGCCTTGGATCTTCATGAAGAAATTGAAGGAACAAAAGAATGGAAAGGAGGGAGGGGGAAGGACAGAAAGGAAGTTTTTCTTAATGCTATCATAATTCATGGATCTGTGAGAATGATGAAGGCTGTGGACTCATATTCTATTAAACAATGCCCATAAGCATTAACTATCACATTCTATTTCAGGGGTTCTCCTTTATTACGATTTGTGAATCCTAATTTAATGACCTTTGCCTAAAGGTGGAGCCTACAACAACCTTTTTGTCAGCTGCTTCTGATTTAATTGCTCATAGACATAACTATCACCTAAGTAGTTTGATTTTGTATTTAAGATAAAGATTAAGATAAAGGCATCCTTAAAGTTGATTTCTTAGCTGCCTGAAATTCCCAGTGTCATCACTGAAAAAGTCCTGCAGCTTTTGAGTGGGACTCAATTCTGTACAGTAAGCTCTTTGAATTTGAGAGAATAGAAAAACCTGCATCATTATTTATGGTTCTTTGAACTTGTGGCAGTATCAAGCTGTCAGATTCCTAAATGTGAAGAGAGGAAATCCTGGAAGCAAGTCCCTTGGATGACTCTCAAACTTATCAAAGGCAGAGACATAATCTGTTGAACTACAGGAAGATGCTACCCTCAGGTTGAACTGTTCCTGCTTCTTCCATAAGTCCCAAGAGACCATTACCACTCAGCTAAAACCCATCTTTAGCTCTTGATGTATGCTCCAATTTTTTTTTTTTTGAAAATAAATTGACTCATTAGAGCTAATAGCATTTTATTAAAATAGCAAGCAATTAGTGGCTGTTATTCAGATGTTCAAGGCTCTTTAACATTAAGTAACCTACGCCCATTTAATTTTAGGTCCCTGTTCTAGATTCTGAAACACTGCTGTTCAGAAAGTGGTTATCGAAATGCCCCTTTCGTCATTAAGATAAAGAGCTCATAATGTTCACTGAGCACATGATGCAGAAGGAGACGGGAAATATGTCACCGGATGCTGGGAAGGGAACTGTGAACCAAGCAGGCCTGCTCCCTGCCAGCAAGTCCCTGTGACACAGGCAGCAGGGAAGCCCTTCTAGCCAGGCAGGAACTCATTTTGGAAGCTTCTTGGAGGCTGTGAGCCTTCTGTCATTTTGGCTCTGTCACTTAATGCCTATGCAGATTTAATTAAAAATTATCACCAGCAGAGCAAAAGGAAACATTCCTGCAGCCCTGTTGGATGATGTCCTCGTATTTTCATGTTTCCCTTTTATTGACAATTCAGCAAAACATTCAAGGCTGACTCTCCAGAGTCTAGTGTTGTATCTGCCATAAAGTAGGTGTCCAATTAATACTTAAATGAGGAATAGAATGAATACTGTATCCAAGGGATCATGTTTAGTGTGGGGAAGGTAGGACAAAGATGAGCTCAGGTCCACCCTGCGTTTAGGGAGCTTGTAATTCAAGGCAGAGTTGTCCATGATAAATCTGTGCCAGTATAGATGGAAGGAAACGGAATGGAAGCATTTCAGCTGGGAACTTCTTGAGGCATCTGGGATGGCAACATTCCTTCTCCTAGGTGCCTGTCCTATATTTACTTTGCAGTTTCCTGATGAGACTGTATTTGCCCAGAAAAGAAAGTCCTAATTGGATCACTGCCTTCCTACATTTAATGACATTCCCAGGCTACCTTTCCAGCATGATTTACTACTTAGGGAGTGTTTAACCCTGGCAGGCAAAAGATCCCCTGTCATTGTTTTGCAAATAGAAATACAAAATCCTTTGTCCGTAAGGCTATTTGGAGAGGTGGAGAAATAATTACAAGTTTTAAATAATTAGAAAATGTAAAAAGTAAAAAAAAAAAAAAAGCAAATGATTAGGGTCACAATAATTTAATCCACTTTAGGCACTGAAATGTTAAAATCTGAAGTTGAAAGATGTTAGTGTTGGCTTGTCATCAGACACCACCCAGCTATTGAAATTGGAGACCTGGCCACATGCTGAACTATAATAACCTCACAACAATAGAGGAGGATTGGCTGTTTCAAAAAAAGCAGTTTCCCACATTCAGAGGCATTTGCTAGAAAACTCAGAAGGCATCAAGTAGGTTAGTGAAATTAATCAGCACCAGTTCCATTAATAGAGGCTCCAGCACACACGACGGGAGACCCTGGATGTGTCTGTTCTTATCAGGAGCATTGTTTTCACTTCAAAGTTACAGCAAGACAACTTACCTGGAATAGGCCATTCTTACATAACAACTTGAGCTTCTTAGGGGAGAAATGAGAGCTTCAATTTACACAACTTCTCCCAAGGTTGCCCAGCTTTTCCTATTTGTGGGGCAAAGGTGCCTGGATGCATGTTGTTTGTGGTGGGGTGAAGTATGGGTGTGTGCACTGGGAAGAGGGGAGTGCTTTCTAACACCCTGGTGTCTAACACACTAGGTTCAAATCTTCATATTACTACTTAATGATTCTGTGACCTTCAGCTACTAGTTATCTTCTTAGAACTTTATGTTCTGCATCTGTAAAATGGGTTGTCAAAAAACAAATAGATGAAATTAATGAATAGAAAGTGTTAGATCTGGCAAAAAAGAATTCCTCTCAAGGTTTCCATATCACATTACCCCAGTTTACGTAAATGAAAGAATACTTGCTACAGGAGGACCCTTTGATAAGAATGTGAATTCAAAGGTGATAGTTTGACATCAAGCAAGGATATGGGAGTATATAAAACAGCAGAGAAATAAGACTACAGAAAAGCCTAGTAGCTTTTTAAGTGTTTTAGATCATTGCCAACTTTTACCACATGGTGACATTTACTGCCATAATTGACTTAAAAATAGATCAAGTCATTGTGATGGTAGAGTAGGTGGAAAATGATGCGTATCAAGCCAGAAAAATGTTTTAAGCATTTGCAAATATTTTTATGCAGCATAAAAATTAAAATTTTAGTGCTTAAAGGGAAGATCTTGATATATGGAAACTGCATTCTTTGACAAGGCACTTTTCTGATAGCTCACCAGTTATAAGCAAAAGTGTTCCAGCAGCAAAGCCCAGCCTCAAATATAGGATGTAATCTGTTTCAAATACTGAAAGCCTTATGAAAATATTTGGAAGGATATATTAGATGTTGTTGTCAACTTGGGTTGCACTCTGATTTCATTAAAATTATTTTGATCTGATAGTTATGAGTTCTGACTGTCCCATGCAGAAATTCTAACTCATTTAATCCTAATATTATTATCTCCCATTTTATAGACAGGGAAACTGAGGCACAGAGGCATTAAATACTTTATCCAGTGTTGTGTAGTTTGTAAATGGATTTTAAACAGGGTAGCCTTTCTCCAAACTCTTAATTACTGTGATAGTTGTTAAGATCTGTCTCCAAAGGAGTAATTTTAATTGCAGTAGGGGAATGTAGCAATTAAGAAAGATGTATTGATATAAAGAATGAATTATTTTTCTTTAATCTTTGTAGAGCCCTAAAATGCTTATTAATTCTTATATATTAGCAGATACAATCCATATGTAGATTATACTGGCTGTTGCTGATAAAAAAATCAATGAGCCTCATTATAACTTCAGTGAAGCACAGAAAGTTGAACACATTAAGGCTGTTTGGATGCAGATCAGTAAAATAAACCAGGAGGATGAGGACCTGAACATCAAAGGAATGTTAAGGTCCTCAGTGATCTCTGTTTATTCATGAGCCAGTCCTTTCTCTACTTATCAAAATGTTTTATGTGCTGCCTTAGTATCCTAAATGCTTTCTTTTAAATAAGATTTACTTCCGTAAAAGTGAGAGAGAGAGGGCGTTCATCTGCTGGTTCACTCCCAAGATGGCCACAACAGCCAAATCTGGATCAGGAAGAAGCCAGTATCCAGAAACTCCATCTGAATCTCCCATGTGGGTGGCAGGGGCCCAGCTACTTGGGCCATCACCTTTTGCTGCTTTCCCATGTGCATTAGCAGGAAGCTGTATTATAAGTAGAGTAGCTGGAATTCAAACTGGCACTCTGATGTGTAACGTCAGTTTCGCAAGCAACAGCTTAAGCCACTGCACCACAATGCTGCCACCATGAATACTTTCTTAATGAAGATCATTAAACTTTATCAAATTAAACAAGATCCTTTGCATTTATACTGGCATGGATCTCTGAAACTTCCTTTGACTCCTAGGGAAAGAATTCTCACCCAAGATACAGCAGATAATGTTTGATAATGGACTATATTATAGTCTATCACTTCTGCCCAGCAGGGACCAAATCACTAAAATAAAGCTTAAATGTGATGAGTGGACTTAAGTGTTTCTCTTAATGGTAGAATCATGTATTCATTCTCATGCCTCTCTCCCATCTGGGCTTTTGATGATGTACCAGATTGATTTAATGAGGCCAAATGGACCTTTAATGGATTTTCCCTAAGAATTAGTGAATTATCCTCTTCTCCCCCAAAGTAACTGTCATCTAAATCCCAGGTCTGCTTGGATTTATTGCATGTACAGTGTTCTTAGCCACTGATTTGGGGGCCTGCCAAGGGCTTGGTAAATATGCTAATGTGTTGAAAACAAAGCATTCGTTCCACGGACCACACACCCACCATTCCACAGAGTTATCAACTGTCATTGTGACAGAAATAGACCTGACATTCCTTTTATACACAAATTTATACATCATGAGTTGTATGTTATTCTGATGTATACTGTAAGTTGGGCTTTTTTTTTTTTCTAAATGGATATTGGCATGGTTAAAAGGATCCAACAGAGTATGGTGAAATATTTGGCTTTAGCAACAGTTTGGGCTCATTCCCACATCCTGAAGGAGCCAGAGGAAGGCCAAATCACCCAGAACCCAGAGGGAGAGAACTCAGGTGAAGAAGCCAAGACCCTCGGCAGAGGAACACAGCCACTGGCTGGGGAGGAGCCGGAATGATAAGTACCTTGACTGCATTATTTTTGTTACTAGTACATTTGGTTGTGTGGCATTTTGGTATACTGTAGAGTTGTTTCACAAGAAGTTCTATATTGTACTGCATGGTATGTTCACTTGGGTTATCCAGTGATTCAGTTCTTCTGCTAGCTAAATCTGTATCTAATGGCAGCAAAAGGACATCAGTCAGCTACCTGAATATAAACCATGGTTTAGTGAGTAATACTTATAAAACATGGATGCAGTGAGCCTGCATACCCAGATGCATGGACAGGAGTTCTGGAAGCATTGCATGAAGGTGATCACTATGTGAGAGTTTAAATGAAAGTGAAGTCTCTCTCTACTACATAGCAAGAAGAGGTTACTGCTAAATCTAGGTTTGAATCTTGGATATACATTTAACTAGCTCCTATTTGCAGATATTTATGTAGGCATTCACTCTGCTAACACCACTGATCCAGGGATTATGGAGAGGGGAGTAAAAGGCAAGATGCCTATTCTCATGGGGCCTACCTTAACATGGGGAGATGGCTGATCCACTAGCATGCAGCAAGTTGAGTTCAGATGGTGGCAGTAGAACTAGATGATATGATAGAGAGCTGCAAGGGACAGGGCAGGGGGATGTCTGGGGAAATGATATTTGAGCCGAGAACTTGGCCATTTTCTTTCAGGCTTGGGGATAATTGGAGAAGAGCCACAGGTGCTGAGTAGAGCAGCAAATCTGGAAAAGAAAAGTTTTAGTGATAGCAATTGAGGTCTGTGTAGATTGAGTAACGTGAAGACATTGAAGGGTTTCAAAGGGGGAGAGAGGATTTGATCTGTGCTTGAGGTCCCTCTGTGGAGTTTGGATTATCCAGAGGTGACTAGAACACTTAGCCTGAGATAGAGGCAGAGGAGACAAGAGAAAACTATCGGGATGCAGTATATATGACAGACTGTAAGGACCCCCGCATCATTTTCCTAATGAGATTATAAATGCTTATTTGCTAAATTGAATAAACCTTTACAAGTATGGATGAAATAGTCAATACATATTTAAAAAATATTAGCCTACTTATTTATACTCTATTCCTAATTTAGAAATGTTGCAGATTTACTCGTATCATTTAAAAGTTTTATGCAGTCTTTCTTATCTCTAGAACTACTTTTAATTCATCTGACTCTCCAGAAACAATTGGTCTTTACTTCTACCCATTTTATTTGCAAAAAGGCAGTATTGAGTATGATACTCCCATTGGAAAAGGATTTTTTTTCAAGCCTACAAGTACTGTGAAGATATGAGTTAAAGTACTGTAACAAAGAAAGGCCAAAATGAAGTGATTAAAGCTGGACAGATGTTTGTCTCTGGAAATAGTACATAGGTGTTTGGGTGATCCAAGCTGATAGGCAGCTCTGCCACCATAACACTTGGCTTCCCTATGTAGGACCACATTGCAGTCGTCTGCCGGGCAGAAGGAAGTGGAAAAGGATTTGTTTGGTGCCTAGGAGGGGTCTTCTCATTCAGTCATTTTAAGGTCAAGACATAGCATTTCCAACTATAGCTTAAGACCTCTGAGTCAAATGAGTACATGTCACCATGAAAGAAGGGAAGAATGAAGGCGACACTGGTGAACTAGCAGGCTGTCACAGCATCCACTGGATAGCGTGGGAACTGCTGGGTTTTCTCATCCTGCAGATGTATATGAGTCTTCTCTATCTAGAGCTCTTCAGTTGCTGGGTTCAGAGAGCAAGAGATAGAGGTTATTGGATCTCTACAACTTAACCACTGACTGTACTACTATTTAAAGTCATATTTAAAAGATAAGAAGAGTCATGCCATAAAAATAATTATAAAAATTGTTTTTTAAAAAATTTCTTTGTCTCCTTCATTTAAATAATACCATCAGTAGACTTCTGAAGACTGCCAAAGCTAACACAGACTGAAGCCGGTGCAGACTGTGTTTTTTTCAAATAGTACTTTTTGTTCAAAGAAGGTAATTATCCAAGAGCCCTATAATAAGCAGCTTTGGGAAGACTCTAATATAAGGGAATTTCTTTTTTGGGAAGTAATTGTGGGAGGAGCGTTACCTCACCTTATATTTAGACACTGAGACAGGGTAGACCAGGACACCTGTAGAGTAGTACCAGGAAGAGGAGGTAGGGGGAGGGAGGAGTTTATTTTGTAATGTAAGCAAATGTTCTTTTTTTTTCAATGACACTATGGGGGGATACTTAATGCATCATATTTTCATGTTATTGTGAGAATGATAAAAGATGTTAGGTATATGGCAGAGTTTATGCATCATGTAAATACTGCAGAACACTAAGATAAGCAAGGACTTTCTTATCTTTGCAAAAGTCGGTGTCAGTGTTTTGCAGGAGACATTTGTAGTGACAGTGCTTGCCTGGCACACAGTATGTGCTCAATAAGTGATCACTTTGATTATTGTTGTGAGAAATGAAGAAAGTTTAAAAATAGCCCAACTTTAAGCATTTGAATGCCCACTCACCATCTCATCTGCATTAGTTCTATTTTTGAAGATTTCTCCTTAGTACAAATGAATCTGATATGATATAGGGCTTTGGGGAAAGATTAATGAATGCGTTTTTTTCTGAGCAAGCTCTCAAGTCGAGTTGTCCCAGAGAGCCCTGAAGTCCATTTTCTTTCCTAAGAACAACACATCTCCCCGTTCCTGTCTTCCAGGCAGCACTGTGAAGTACCTTGCATATTTAAATAGCTGGAATTCATAAAATAGCACCACGCATTTTCCTCAAAACATCACATGATTGCTAGTGAATTTAGGGGATGTGTGGGGTTTTGATGTAATTTCTTGTTTGTCCATTGAGATACTATAAACAGTGTAAAAAATACTATGTTTTACTCTAATATTGTCAAATTGTTGTGGAGGCATTTAGTTCTATTTGACAGTCTGGTATTTCTTCAAATGCTTTGTGTCCATTCATGAGGGCGATGGTTTCATTTGAAATGCTGCAGTCACCAGGGAGAAAGCACTGTGCTCTTCCCTGATAGGCCAGCTTTCCTTCTGCCTCCTGTTGCTATGGTGCCAAGCACAGTAACTTCCTTGCCCTGCACATGCAGGAGGTGCGGTCTCCATGGATACCCCACTCAGAGACTGTACTCTACAGAGAGATGAGCTGCACACACTGTATCTCTGCAAGAGATAGACCCTGGCCTGTGGTGGGAGGCTGCTTGCAGAGGCAGTGTTTGCCATGAAAGTCTACGGAGCTTACCTTCTAAGTAAGTAGTATTAGAAACAGTAAGTAAAGAATTATACTGGATCACAGAGGATGTGTATCACATATGTGTGTGTGTGCACGTGTGCACTTATACGTGTGTGTGTGTGTGTGTGTGCCTGTGTGTGTGAAGTCAGTAGCGGTAAGCAAAAAATGTAGCCTAAAAACAAGTTTGCAACTTTACCTTTCAGACATTCTGAATGCAGGGCCTATAAATAAACTTTTAAAAATACATATATGTATTGCTTTAAATATCCCTTGTTGTTTGTGAATCTATGAGGGTACTTCAAAAACTTCACGGAAATTGAATTGAAATATAAATTTATTTGAGTCTCTCAAATCTTTTGAAGACTGTGACTACAAAGGGCCTTCAAAAACTTCATGGAAAATGCCTACAAAAAAACCATTATATTTGTGCAAATCCATGCAAAACAACAATAATAGCATTGTCCACGGATGGTTATGTTTTAGAATGCTCTTCTAACACTGAGCATCGCGTATTGCATTTGTAAGTGCCAAGCCTGCCCTTACCAGTGGTGTGCTGTGGGAATAGATGAGCACAGACACAATTAATGCTAATTGGCACTGCACATAGTTTGCACTGGGCCTCTGTGTAGGCTGAGACACGATGTATTTATTATCAGGAGAGTGGCTGCTCCTGTGATTAGAAAAAGAATGACCATGTCTGCCAGTTCACTATGAACATTATTCAGAGCACATCTCTCTGACCAATTTTAATTTACCTGTCTCAGTTGGCACTCAGTGGAAAAATCTGAGACTTTTCATGTCCACGGAATTGAGATGTGGAAGGTTTTCATGAACTGATTTGATCTCTTTACTGTACATTCCAAGAGTGTAAAGGTAGTGTTTGTAGTGTTATAAAGCACGTGCATCATCTTAAAACACTGTTCATCTGCTGGCAAATGCTTAATGCCTATGATGTTAAAATTAATTAATAGAAACAAAAGAAAGATATCCAAAAATAGTAACTCTAACTGTAGTCCAGTAGCTTTAAAATTAAATTATTCACAGAAGATAGCTGGCATCTAGAAGTACTAAAGAAAAAGATGTACTACAGTGACACAAGAGAGACACATTTTTCATCCTGTGAGATTGAGCACAGATCATTAGGCTAGTTTGTGAGTTTCTCTTATTTTCTGTACTCATGACCCATCCAGGCAATAGACGAGCTGTTTGATGTCATCTTTTCCAGCAGTTAGTCATGATCCAGTTTCAATTGCTCCAAATGCTGAAAAGGTGCCACCCTTTAAGAATGTGAATGTACTGGTGACTACTCTGTCCCAGACTTTGTCACTGGGGTCAAACTTTGGGCTTTTGCCTTAAATGACCTAAGTGTTGAAAGTTCCAAGTCCAAGATCAGGTCAAACATACTTTAAAAGGGGGCCTCAAGAGGTTTATAAATGTATGCATTTCGTAAATAAAATTTCCGTCAGTAGAAGTAACAGTGGACAAACAAAGGTACATTGTAAATTCTGTAGAGCTCATGGTTTTCAAGATCTGGAATCCATATTGTGATATATCCCCAAAAGTTTTTCACCCCGTATCACTTTCCCAATGTGTCTATAATAAATTCTCTCACCCATTCATCTCTGAAAACTAACATAGTCTGGGATGTTTTTCAACTTTCAGATATCTGAATCTCTTCTCTAAAACACTTCCCTTTTCTGTACCGTGTAGATAATAATAGTACCTATCAGAAAAAGCTGCTTTGAAAATTCAGTGATATAAGGAAGGGCACATCAATATTAGCTGCCATTGTATTATGATTATTATAAGCACCATCATCATCATCTTCATTGTTATAATACTTAATGGTCAAGGGACACACTCTTTGGCTTGATTTCATTCAGCCTATCATATTTCATATAAAATACTAAGAACCTATTGAGCTTGGCATTTTGATGGAAATCATGAGATTCAATGCACATGAGAATATAGCTACAAAAATGATATATAAAGTAGGCTTTTTTCTTCTTAATTGTATCACTTTATGTTTCGCTAAATAACCATATGTATTTATATTGCCAATAATTGTTTTGCCAGAATGAATATGTAGAATACGACAATGGATACGTAAGATAAAAATAGTTTATCTATTGCATACTTCTAGTTAATTTTATAAGTTGAATTAAAAATGTGACAACTAAAATCTAGGTTCAGATTTTCAGCTCATTTCCTTTCCTGAAAGAATTTCCATTCAGAGTACAGTAAATGACATATTTTGAAAACAGAGTAATTTCATTAAGTTGAAAGTTTGGGAAATGATGGGAGAAGAGATGGGAAATGATTGATTAATCTGTGTAAAAATAGGCCCCATGCTGGGATTTTTCCTTTTGCACTAATCCTGTGTGACATCTGAGTCAAAAAAAAAAAAGTAAAACCAATGCCATATGCACAGAGCCTGCTGGTGCTGATTTTTAAAATGCAGGAAGAGTTGACCCAGATTATACACTGCAGCTTTATTTTTATTTTAATGTCATTTTCATTTTCATTTTCTTTCTGGCACATTCTCTCCCTTCCATCTGTTTACCCTGGAAAGAATGTGGCATGCAGAACAAAGACTGTACCAATTCACTTGAATTAGAAAAGGAAGGATGTTTGTTGAATATGGTTTAAAATGAGGCCTTCAGAGGTTTAGAAGTGCAGTCAGTATAGGTCCTCACATACTGAATATATTTTGCTAGACGTAATTTCAGATGCAATATCATTCACATGGTCTAGATGGAATAAACCTTCTTTGGTAAAATTTCAAGGCAAAAATTAAAACCTTAGCTGCATTTCCACAAGCATGGTGACCTTTCATACACATTCTGTGGGCCCGTGACCAAAATAATGCCCCACTTTCTGTTCCATTGTTATTGGACTTGCATCTGCATGCTCTGGTGTTGCACAGTTTATCAAGTTTTTGTTAGGTGCTTGGTGCTGCTGTCAGGAGTGTGGATGGTGTTCTTTTGTTGACTCTGAGGAGCTTGTTGAGAGGTCTTCGCAGTTCTGAATCCTTTGAAATCAGGGGAGATTTGTGGCATTTTCAGAGCAAGGGATGTTCCCTTGTGTGGTGGCAACATTATCCAGGGAAATCACATCTTCTGGGTCCTTGGCTTCTTGTACTCAGCTCTGAGATAGGTGGGCCCTGCCTCTTCAAGGAAGATCTGATTCCTGTTTAGACTACAGGCAGACCTGCCTGTTCTTACGAGATGGAGGCTATGCCTGAACCTGGTACTGCATTACTGCGTGACAGCCGATGCTTTACCCTTCACAAACCCCCAGTAGTTAGTGGGAGAAGGGAGGGATCTATGCCACAGGCATAGAAGCATTGGTGCATTCCTAGCAGTGATGTAGGATCTGCAGTCATTATCTTGTATTCTGCCAAGTCCAAAAAACAGGGACTCAGTAAAGGGATTTTGCTTGTGCAAAGTAGGTCATTCTTGAGATTTGGGTGGGATTCTTCAATTTAGCATTTCCACCTTTCCTTTTCCCATCAGTCTCAGCCACCATGCAATAGAATGGAACCCAGTAATGCTGCTCATTTGTTTTCTCAACAAGTACTTTTTGATGCACCAAACACTGAGATACAATAGTAAGCCAGGAATGTCTGTACACTGTTGTGGGTTTCTGGGGGAAATAGAGGATCCCACAGGAGTACAGAGGAAAACTATGCAACTCAAGCTGCATAGGTCTAGGAAGGGCGTCAAGGATTGTAGTATGACACTGATACCTACAAAGGGTAAAAGAGATTTTTTAAGTGCAAAGACACTGGAAAATTTGATGTTTACATGCTATTGTTAACTTAAATATGATGTATGCCCTTAGAGGATTTTGAAGAATTATGTTGTTATTATCTCAGTCTATATTTCATAATTATACCTTTGCTAGGATGTGACTATCTCTGTATTTCTTTATTTTCCTTTCCTTTCCTCTCCCCTCCCCACCACGCCTTTTCTCTTTCTTTGGATGACATGATAATGAAGCAGAGGCTTGTGATGCAACCTTCCACTCTAAGAATTGCCACCACTAAGCTCCCTCCCTTAGGGGTCACTTCTGTATTGAATTATGTGTTTTATCCCGTGCTTTCACTTTAAAAATACTTTTATCAAGGGGGAAAGTAAGGTCTTGGAGCTGTGTTTTCTTTTCCAATGTGTTCCCCTTAATTAGCACAGTGCCTGGTCCTCGGCAGCTCCTTGAGACATTGGAGAATGAGTAGACACAACAGAGCCTGAAAGACTTTTCTGTGGTTCTGTTTGCCAAGGTCGTGTTGAAATTCAACTTCTGTAGTCTTGTTCCATTTGAGCTTTGTTAGTTTTGTCTCATATAGGGTACTTGTAAGTGTAGGGTACTGAAATTAAGAGGATAGTATTTAGTTGTTTGAGGGTATTTTCAAACTAGCCTGTGCAAAGTGTCTTTGCCTTTTTCTGCAATGCACACCCTCTCCGGAGGTCCTATGGAAAGTGGCCTTAATTTGGTTGCAGCGCTCTGCTTTGCTTTTCCATTCCGTTTTGGTTTTTCATAGAACATTGTAGGGCGGGGAGGGTAGGGGTGGAGAAAGCAGAGAACATTGAGTCCACTTGAATTTAAAAGTTAACTTGTGGAGAGGGGCGGGGCAGAGTAGTTGAGCAAGCAGAGGGTTGGCCTGGGAACATGTGCTCAGTGCCAGACTTCACTGAGGACTGAGATCCTGGGGAAGGCTCCGGAAAGGGAGTCCATGGAAATGCAGAGCATGGTTTGTGTGCAGAGCCCGAGCTAATCGTGAGTGTGCTTCACAATTTCACTTTTGAGAGTGCTGTAACCCACAGTGGGATTATTGGTAGGAGGCATTCTTGGGGGGACTGGAGGGGAGGGTGTTAAAACACATTTTGCTCAGAAGTTTGAGAGTTCTAATAATTTTCATTTGGTAATGGTGTGGGGTGCAATGCAGGGACTTGCTGCTGAGGCTGGAACTCCTTGCCTCCCTTCCTGGATCCAAAGTGGGAGCACACGGTGCCCTAG